CTGTGTAGAAAGAAAAACGTGTCAGTCACAACACAGCAGCAGCAGTAGCAGCAGCAGCAGCAGTGAGAATCACGACCCACCACTACCACCGCTACCACCACTACCACTATCACCACCACCAGCACACACATCCAACACCAGCACCAATTAACTAAACCTATGAGCTTCAGATTAATTCTTCTTGACAGTTTGAATTTATGTGCATTTGTAAGTTAAGGATCGATTAAACCCCCCTAAAACCTTGCTAAACTTCCAATAATTAGCTCTTTCCTACTTAAAAAATATTATATCTTCAAATTAACAAAAATTTGTTATACATAATATAATTTTATTTTTTTTTTCTTGCCATAGTGACTTTCCTATGTATACTATATGCAGGATATTAGTGAAGCAAGCAATAGTACAATACTAATTTAACTGATAATGTTGCTAAAGGTCAAAAAACAATACAAAAAAAAAAAAAAAAAAAAAAAAAAAAAAAAAAAAAAGGTAAGGGACAGAAATATTTATGGAAGAAAAAAGGAATCTCTATATTATAATAAAAAGTACAAAACCTAAAGTTTTTCTTTTTTAACTCCAAATTTAAAAATTCATTAAAAACATTTCCCAGATGTTGGTTTAGCAAATATTTAGGATAGAACGTTGTTTGGGGACTAAAATTTAAAATCAGTATGGCCCTGCTTGGCATTTTCCCCTGCGGATTCCATGTACACTTTAAAATTTGCCCAAAACTCTCTTTAGCTCCCACCCCTTTGGCTTAGAAATTTTTTTTTGTTTTTAAAATAATAATCTATAAGCTCCCCCCCCTGAGTTTTTTAAATGGGCTGACCCTCCCCCATTTTGTTTAAATTTTCCGTGAGTTACGTGAGCACCACGACTCTCCGTTATGTCTGGAATTTTCCCAGTTTTTCAAGTGTTTTAAGTTTTTCATGGTTTTTAATATTTTAAAAAAATATATTTGTGTGTACCTGTACCAAAATAAAATTGCACTGTGCGGTGGCAAGTGCACTTTAAAATCATAAGATGTTTTTATTTCGGGAGCCACATAATAATTATGTTTAATATGCAATAATAACCCCCGAGGGCTTTAAATGTGTTTTCGTTAAAATAAACATTTTCATTAACCCATCTTTTTTTTTAAAAATTATATGTAACACGCTAGTACTTTTAAAACATGATATAAACCCCCCAGATAGAAAAAATTTAAACAAATAAGAGAGTCTGGTGTACGAACAAAAAAAGACATGTTGGTCGGGTTGTTTACATTATGTTTCCTCTCCTTCTTTTACGCTTTTTCTTGTTTATTGTTTTCCCTTTTTTTTAATTTAAGTTCTATTTTATTAATAAAGTTAGTTAAATGGCACTTATATGATTTTAAAAGGAGATAATGGCATTTGCTTTCCCCGATTGTCCCTTTCTGGAAATGGCCTGGAAACCTAAAATGCTGTAAAGTGGGGCCTACTGTATTTCATAGAAATGGCCCGAAAAAAATATTACATAGAGCTTGATTTTTTGTATGTAAGTGTGTGTGGGGTTTTTGTGTGTTGTTGTGTTGTGGTTGTGGTGTGTGTGTGTGTGTGTGGGTTTTGGGGAGGTGTGTGTGTGTGTGTGGGTGTGTGGGTGTGTGGTTGTTGTGGTGTGTGTGTGGTGTGGTTTGGGGTTGTGTGGTGTGGGTTGGTGTGGTGTGGTTGTGTGGGGTGGTGGTGGTGTGGTGGGCGTGTGTGGTGTGTGGGTGCGTGTTGGTGTGTGTGTGTGCGTTGTGGGGGTGTGGTGTTGGCGTGTGTGGTTGTGGTGTGTGCGTTTGGGGTTTTGCGGTGGTTGTGTTGTGGATGTGTGTGGGTGTTGTGGTGTGTGTGTGGTGTGTGTGTGGTGTGTGTTTGGGGGTGTGTGCGCGTGTGTGGTGTGTGTGTGTGTGGGTGTGTGTGGCGTTGTGGTGTGTGTGGGGTGTGTGTGGGGGGTGTGTGTGGTTTGTGTGTGTTTGGTTGTGTGTGTGGTGGGTGGTGTGGGTGTGGGGTTTGGGGTGGGTGGTGTGTGTGGTGTGTGTGGTGTGGTGGGTGTGGTGTGCGGTTTTTTGGGTTGGTGTGGGGTGGTGTGGTGTGTGTTGTGTTTTGGGGGTGTGTGTGTGTGTGGTGTGTGTGGTGGTGTGTGTGGGTTTTGTGGTGTGTGGGGGTGTGTGGTGGGGTGGGGTGGTGTGTGTGTGGTGTGGTGGGGGTGGGTGTGTGTGGTGTGTGTGTGGTGTGGTGTGGTGTGGGTGTGTGGTGTTGTGGGTGTGTGGTTTTGGGGTGTGGTGTGTGTGGGGGTGTGGGTGGTGTGTGTGTGGTGTGTGGTGTGTGTGTGTGGGTTTTGTGTGGTTGTGTGGGTTTTTGTGTGGGTGTGTGGTGTGTGTGTGGTGTGGGGTGTGTGTGTTGTGGTTGTGGTGTGGTGTGTGTGTGTTGTGGTGTGTGTGGTGTGGTTTGTGGTGTGTGTGGTGGGGTTGTGGTGTGTGTGTGTGTGGTGTGTGTGGTTTTGTGGTGTGGGGTGTGTGGTGTGTGTGTGTGGTTGTTGTGTGGTGTGTGTGTTGTGGGTGTGGTGTGTGTGTGTGGTGTGTGGTGGGTTTTTGTGGTGGTGTGTTGGGGTTTGTGGTTTGGTTGTGTGTGTGGTGTGTGTGTGGTGTGTGTGTGGTGTGTGTGTGGTGGGTGTGTGTGTGGGTTTGGGGTGTGGTGGTGTGTTTTGGGGTGTGTGGTGTGTGTGTGGTGTGTTGTGTGGTGTGTGTGTTGTGTTTTGTGTGGTGGGTGTGTTGTTTTTGTGTGGTTGTGGGTGTGTGTGTTTGTGTGTGTTTGGGGGTGTGGGTGGTGTTTGTGGTTGTGGGTGTGTGTGTGTGTGGTGTGTGTGTGTGTGTGTGGTGTGTTGTTTTGTGTGTGTGTGGGTGTGTGTGTGGTGTGTGTGGGGGTGGTGTGGGGGTGTTGGGGGTGTTGTGTGTGGTGTTTTGGGGTGTGTGGGTTTTGTGTGTGTTTTTGTGTGGGTGTGTGTGGTGTGTGTGTGGGGTGTGTGTGTGTGTGTGTGGTGTGTGTGTGTGTGTGGTTGTGTGTGTGTGTGTGTGTGTGTGTGGTGTGTGTGGGGTGGGTGTGTGTGTGGTGTGTGTGGGTGTGTGTGGGTTGTGTGTGTGTTGGTGTGTGTGGTGTGTGTGGTGTGTGGGTGTGTGTGGTGTGTGTGTGTGTGGTGTGTGTGGGTGTGTGTGTGTGGTGTGTGTGTGTGGGTGTGTGTGGTGTGTTGTGTGTGTGTGTGTGTGTGTGGGTGTGTGTGTGTGGTGTGTGTGTGTGGGTGTGTGGTGTGGGGTGTGTGTGGTGGTGGTGTTTGGTGTGTGGTGTGTGTGTGGTTGTGTGGTGTGTGTGGTGTGTGTGTGGGGTGTGTGTGGGGTGTGTGTGTGTGTGTGTGTGTTGTGTGGTGTGTGTGTGGGGGTGTGTGTTTTTGTGTGTGTGTGTGTGGTGTGTGTGTGGTGTGTGTGTGGTGTGTGTGGTGTGTGGGGTGTGGTGTGTGTGTGGTGTGGTGTGTGTGGTGTGTGTGTGTTGGTGTGTGTGTGGGGTGTGTGGGGGTGGTGTGGGGGTGGTGTGTTGTGGTGGTGTGTGGTGGTGTGTGGGGTGTTTTGGGTGTGTGTGGGGGGTGTGTGGGGTGTGGTGGGGGTGTGTGTGTGTTTTGGGGGGTGTGGGGTGTTGGTGTGTGTGGTGGTGTGGTGTGGTTGTGTGGGGGGGTTGTGGTGGGGTTTTTTGGTGTGTGTGTGTGTGTGGTGGTGTTTTGTGTTGGGTGGTGGGGTGTGTGTTGTGTGTGGTGTGTGTGTTGTGTGTGTGTCAATCTATCAACTAAAATTTTTAAGTTTTCCTATCCTAACAAAATTTTAAGACTAAAAGAAATTTAGATGCATGGTGTTTTCTCCCACATGCGTGTGGGGAAAGATGAAGGGTGGTTCAAAGTGGGGAAAATGGGGGGGCATTACTTGCACTGGCCGACTACTCAACATGACTTGTGTTTTTGTTTTCACTTCAACAACATAGCATGCTTGCTTTTTAAAATGAAATTTGCAAAAAATTAAACCCAAAGTATAAAATACAACATTTTATTTTTTCAGAGCTAATATAAAAGATGAAAGCCCCTATTAACAAAGTTTTAAAAAGCAGCCCAATAGGTCATGTGATATGGGTTTTTGATTGGAAAAAAGTTTTTTCATGTGGTGTAATTATGCTTTCCCCTTTACTCAAACGCTTCTTTTAAAACCATGAAATGATACTTGCAAATAATTAAAATTTAAAGCGTGAAACAGGTCCTCAAAATCAATTAATATGTAAACAAAGTCCTTCTTTTTTGGGGGTGAGAGAGGCTGTATGCTTGATGGCTACAAATTTGTACAAATGCTGAACCCCCCCCCCCCACTTGTGAAAATACTGATCCAAGTCAACAGAGGGTAGAATCTGCAGCTCATTGCTGAAAGGGTAGACATTTATTCTGCGTACCTATTTTCCCAATTTTGAAAGGGGACTTTGCACGTTACCAACTTCGGCAAACAAAATCAAATACTACTCGTTGACTTTTTTACTGTGTGTGACGACAGATTCTCTTCCTCTAGCAAGTGCTGCAAGGTATTCACAACATAGCAAATTTTTGCTTTACCGAACACCATTTGAAGACTTTCCATATTTCTTAAGTTAATAAGAATTTAATGATGAAAAATTGAGTATTTAATTCCAGTTGCACCACAATTATAAATCTCTCAAATCATTTAAAAAATAATTCAAAGTGAAATAATATGGGAAACATGATAATAGGCAAGGGTTAGAAGAGCATGCTGTGAGTTAAATGTTTATTCCACATTACAGTGTAGGTTTACATATACATAATCTACCAATGTAACTTGACAGTTTATCCAACAACAGTGTACTCAATATCACTTAAATGCTCTTTTGCAATGCTGTAAGTTTTAAAAAAATCTTACTACAAAAACTTCAGGGAAAACAACACAATAAGCATTA